GAAGGTGCGGCTGAAACTTCTCGGGGTGGAGCGCCAGCTACCTCTCTATGACCGGTCGCTCACTCTGGCCAAGTCCGTACTCATGGCTATTTCTACTTATGCTATACAGACCACTGCTCTTCCCACGTCATTTTGTGATCAGATCGATCGCCTGGTGTAGGACTTTATTTGGGCTTCTTTTAGAGAAGGGACGAGGGCCAGCTTGGTTAGTTGGCAGGAGATGTGTCGCCCCATCTCTCATAGTAGGGGCAACCTCCCTAGCCTTAGAGCGCTTAATAAGGCCTTCCTCATGAAAGTGGACTTCTCTATCCTGACCAAGTTGCAGCTTCTTTGGGTTCAAACTCCGCGTCACAAATACAAGTGGGACTATCCCTACAGATCCCTACCCAAGTTGAATACGTGCTTCCACCTCTGGAGGAAACTGAACAATCTTTGGGATAATTTTACCATGGACTGGCCTGACACGTTGGTGATGAGAATACTGTGAAGTTCTGGGATGGTAACTGGTTAATGAATTGTGGCCCCCTCAAGCTACTCGCTTTTCAACCTCTCACGGAGACATAGGTTTCCATGCATGTTAAGGATCTGGTGATCCCGACCGGCAAGTGGAAGTGGGACCTTTTGCAAAACTTACTCCCTTGCAGCGTTTTTCTTCAGTTGGCTGCTGTTAGTCCTCCACGGGAGGATAAGGGTGCTGATGCCCCTTATTGGAGCCTTTCATCTGACGAGAATTTTTCTATTAAATATGCTTATTATATGCTTGCTGACATCTCTTTTCTTTTTGTAGATAACAGGTGGGACTTGGCGTAGAAGTGGTCGGGAGCCCAGTGCATTCATCATTTTCTTTAGTTGGTCTTGCGGAAAGGCTTCCTCACGAGCAAGGAGCAGGTTCGCCGGCACATGGCTGATGATCCTAACTATTTGGTCTGCGGTACTAGTATTGAGGGCCTCAACCACGTCCTGAGGGGTTGTCTTCAGACGCATATTCTGTGGAGCAAGATCATTCCTCAGATGGCTGCCCCCACATTCTTTAGTGTTCCTTTTGATGCCTGGGTCGCCGCCAACCTGCAGAATAAGTTCAGCTGGTGCTCGTCCTTCAGGGATTGGAAGACTGTGTTTGGCATTCAGTTGACTCATTTGGAAACAAAAGAAGGCACTCATGTTTGGCGGTAGTTCTTCCAGTTTGGAGGAACTGAGACACGAGATCTTCAAGATGATTGAGTACACCTTTCAGGTCTTCACCATTGGGACGACCATTTATGGCAATTGCTCGAGTAGGGTGGAAAAGCTTATCAACTGGACCGCACCTCTTAAAAACTGGATCAAGATCAACACTGATGGCACTTCTTGGGGTAGCACTGAGATGGCTTGTGCGGGTGTCATTGGCCGGGACAGTAACGGTAAGTGGCTAGGGAGCCGCATCAGGAATATTAGCACCTGCACTGTCCTTCAGGCTAAACTCTGGGGTGCTTTCGATGGTCTTGAGCTGGCTTGGAATTTAGAGTCGTGTCATGTGATCTTAGAAATGAATAAGCCCTAACTATTCAATTATTGAATTGTGCCTTCAACAAGGAGCATGTCCCCACCAACGCTAATTCTCACCTGGTATTGACTATTCAGTCTTGGCTGATGAAAGATTGGAATGTCAAAATCTAACATGTTTATCGTGAAGGGAATCATTGTGCGAACTTCTTGGCCAACCTGATTTTTTCTTCTTCTCTCGTATCTTACTACCTGCAACGGTCGCCCGCTGATGTTCTGGGTATTCTTTGGGAGGACTTTATTGGGGTCTCCTGACCTAGAATGTGTGCTATTTAGTTGTATATGTTGTTTTTTTCTCCATTGTATACAAAAAATAAAATAAAAAATAATATTTATTAGTATTAATAGTGATAACAATAATGACATAAAACATAATGATTGTTATAATTTTCTTGTTAAGTAATAAATGTTGAAGGAAAGAAAATTATAAAAGATCATTTTAATCTTTTTTTGATATTACCTAAATAAATAGTGTTTATTCACTTGGTGAATGAATAATATTACTCACCATAGTGTATATAATGTCTTAAACTTAATTTAACAATGTATTTGTGTGTTTGACTCATTATTTTATAAGAATTTATGAAGTGTAAAGTTCAAAAATTCTCTAACAACAGATAAATTGGTAAAATTTATTAAAAATAAATCTTTGAAGTATTTGAGTATAGATTATTAACTCATTTATGTATTGGTAGATGAAAAACTTATAAGTTTTCAATTAATGTTAAAATAGAAAAAATAATTTAATTACTTTGGAAAAATAAAACAACCATAGTGTAGTTTTCTTTTTCCAAAAATTCAATTATCCCTTTTTAGATAAATTAATATAAAATAAAAAGAAAATATTAATTTTGAAATTACGTTGATATTTAATTTAATTACTATGTTAATAATAATTTTAGAAATATATATTATGTGATAAAATAAAGTTATAAAGATATTATTTTTTCATTAAGTAAAGTATAATTTGGTGATAAAAGAACTAATATAACTAAGGTAAGATATTTAAATTAAAACTTTAGAAATCAAACAAAAAATAAATTCTTGTAACAACATTTTGAGATTTTTTTTTTAAAAAGAGCTCTTTTAAAATACCATTGTTTGCCAGGTCAAAGAATAAATTACTTCTAAATATATTTTAAAAATTTTACCATAAATTGTTAATTTATAATTTAATGAAAAATATGGAACAAAAGTATTATCTCATATTTGGTTTATATTTTAATTAATATAATATATAAAAATAAATAAAAGATTATTTTTTATAACTCTTTAATAAAAGTATATTATTTTTATCATACTTATTTTATTATAAAAAATTTATAGCACGTTTAAATTTTAACCCAGAAAAGAAAAGCAAAGAGCCGTACACCCTTTCTATTCTCTTCAAGCGGGTGAAATGTTGTCGTCTGACTCTTGGCCTCCGTAGCCTCAAGCAGTGGCTCTCTTCGAGCTTCCTCTATCTATCTGGTTGCGATTCTTCAACCTGGAGAACCAGTGGCAGCATAACATCCATAACTCAAACACCGTAGCCCCGATTTCTATGATAACTCGTGTAAGTAAGATTTTCTTTTGCAAAAATTTTTATGTTCTTCGAATGCAATGAGTTTGTAGTGTTATGGAATTAGATATTTTGGTTTGCTTGATTAGGCTATCTTCTTCAATTTGTTTATTCACTTGCCTAGAGTTTCTATTTGACTAAGTTTTCTCACGTTATATTTCTTTTGTGACCTGGCTTGAAAAGGTATCCTGCTGTCCTACTCGACGGCGGACCATTATATTCTTTAATGCCGTGTTACTGAATCTTTTCTCTTTAATTCCAATTATATATTGTTGATTCTTATGGTTTGGCTGATGATAACGGTTTTTTTCCCTATACCTACTGTGATTTTCTTCCTGCTTTCTTCTGTGATTGGTTACTTTTATTTCATGGAGTTCTTGATTGAAATGAGGCATTGTAGACATACTGTGATTACAGAGATTGAACACTATGTGTTTGGTGAAATGTCTTGAAGAACATCTTCTCTTAGTTTGCTAAGGGTGTTTTGTGTTGAAATAAGATGATCTTGAGACGCTCTTTGCATGTTCTCTTCTCCTACAAAAATTGAGAGGATAAACTTGTTTGAGGTGTTGGTTATATTTATTTGTTTGCTAAAGGTGTGGCTAAAGTCCTGTAAGTGAGTCTTGAATAGTTTGAATCTTAGGTATAATTGGCGTGTATAATGACTGATAGTGATATCAAAAATGTAATAAAGTTTCTGGATTATCAACAGGGAGTAAAGAGAACCAATTTTGAAGTATATTCTTTTTTATACTTGTGTGATTCAGCTTTCTGAATAACTATTTAAAAAAAAAATGGTATTCATATTTGTATTGCACTTGGTTTAATTTTGGGTTCAATATCATCATAGGATTTCACGTCCACAGCTAGATATTCTCAGCTAGAGGTTACTACCTTACAGACTAAATAATCTTTGGATATTGGTTAGTCTGGTTATCAATAAGCCTATAGTTCTTTTTTTTTTCTCCTTGTAACTGTTTCAAGCAGATGATTGCTTACAAATCCTTGAAAATCAAACTTCAATATTCTCCATGGCCTTCAAATAGTTTTAAATGTTGTTAACATTTTAATGGAAATGATGGAAAAACTTACTGCATTTAGATTCTGTTATTACAACTCAATTGCTTTGAGTTTATATTTGCTAAATTCATACATGTTTAATACTTAGAAACTTATGTATTGCCATGGTCTAACTAATGTGACCTTTGGGCCCTTTTCCTACTCAATTTCAAAAAAAGGATGGGTGCCTCACACTTTTTTATCTTATAGTATTTTCTGAATATCTCTGAACAATGTGTATTTTGTGACTCAAGAATTCTTCTCAAAACTTTTAAGCGTCCACAATTTCCATGTTAATGATAGCCGGCAGCGATTAATTTGATAGTTTTCTGGTGGTGTAGTCATGAATTTTATGTTATGGTGAAAATGGTGAGATTAGCCAAGGGTATTAAGGCAATTTCTTAGATTAGTTAGTACTGCACTACCAGGTTAGGATAGGGTAGTTAATCAACTTTTAAATACCAGATAATGGGTACAGGAGGGTTAATAGCCCAATTTCAATATTAAAACAAACTAGGATAGGAAAGTATTTCTGTATTTAAATTGGGGTGTTAGTATTTAAATGTTTAACGACAGATTTTCCACATTTACATTCAATTGAATATTTATTTTCTTTTTAATTTTTTAAATAATAAAACTCTTCAATGTTTAAAACTTTTGGAGAATGGGGTTGGAGACCAGTTTATTGCAACCAACTAATGGGGTGGCGGTGGGGATTGTTTCCTTAATTGAGGATAGAAAGTATATCAAAGATTACCTTACAAAGGCCCTCTTACCTTATTGTATCTCTCTGGTAGACATGGTTTTTAGGTGTTACCAAATACTGGCTGGTCTACTTGTATGCCATGTTGCTATTAAATAAATAGGTGAGGTGTTGTGGATTTGAATTTCAAAATATTTTCAATTATTTTATGGATTTTATATCTTATTAATCCACTTTGCATAGAATGAACTTTATTTGATTTCTTTTCAAATACTTTATATTTATGTTACTATGCTTCCTAATTAATTTTTTGAATTACTTTTTGTTACAAATATATTTAAAGTGTAGTTGTAATATGTTAACAGTTTTAAATGGAATGAAATAGCAGTTCCATGAATTAGGAAAAGAAACACCTATTCAAGTTAATAAAAAACTTTTCACCCCAAACATGTAAATGGAGATTTGGCTAAATAAAATTAAAAAGGCCTAAAATTAAAATGGAGATTTCAAGGGAACTGATGGTGTAGATTGAGAACCTATTGAGCGAGTTGTCCTTGACCATCACCGAAGCTGCAGATA